AGCAAATACATCTTGTTCGTATAGGCACTACATATTAAATCCTTTAAGTTATTATCAATTGTACAGTCTCATATCTGCATAACCTTTGAATTCCTCTCATTCGAGTGTTGATTCGATTCTTTCATGTATCACCCCAGTCAAAGCATGCTAGGAGCCGCTCTTTGTCCATGCCTTATCACTTTTGCACTGCGATAACTCCCAGCCTTCGCAGCCCCTGGAATTTATATTATATTATTTATTTTAAATAAAATAAAATTATTATTTAAATAATAAAAGAAAATATTGTAATTATTTTTTATTCTTATTATCTCGAAAGGCATAATAAGTTTAAGGGAAAGTATTTGTCATTTTAAATGACATAAAGTTATATCATTTTAAGAGAGAGATAGACACATAATAATAATTTTTATTTAAAATTTAAATTAAAAAAAAACAACTTTCTCTCCCATGATTTTTATTCCTTGTATCTATCTCTCACTTAAAATGACATAACTTATGTCATTTAAAATGACAAACATCAAACCCTAAGTTTAAATAACTAATCAGCACACAAGACCTTTTATATTTTAAAAATATATTAAGACAGATCTCTAATTTAATTTTAATAAATTAATATAGGCCTCACCTATTCAAAGCAAAACTTAACATATATACTAATATACATATATATATTTTAAGAAAAAAATATTTGTCTTTTTATAGAATATATAGTCGTGTCATTTTAAGTAAGAGAAAGACACACTATAGTATTTTTTTACTTAAAATTTAAATTTAAAAAAATTCACACATTTTTTTTCCCATGATTTTGATTATTTGTATATTTCTCTCACTTAAAATAAAATAACTCTAATTAAATACTTTAAAAGACAAATACTAACCAATATTTAATTTTATTACAACTTTAGTTATCGATAAAGACAAATATAATATTGTTTTAAATTTTTAAAGAATTAATCGAATGCCATAAATCTGTGAAAAATAAGTATTACAAATCATAATATTTAAAAGATCAATATAAGAATTTATTCTTTACAAAACTATAAAATTTGGAAAAACTTCATTATTTTTCTGCTTTCCGAAGCGAATTATTGGATAAAGTCCATACTGCTAACGGATCCACTAAAGCTTTTTTTTGTTGGACCACAAAGCCCCTCGCAAGGACTGAAAATCACGATTATGGGACCCGCTTATCTGCTATATGAAAAATTGAAGATAGAATTAAAATATCACATTGATTTATTACCAAAAATAAAAAATAAAAAAATAAAAAAAAGACCATATTGCTGTTTTCTTTTTCTTTTTTGGAAATATTCAATCGATTCATCGCTTCGCGTCTAATCCGATTCGAGACGGGTTCAGGATTAAAATTTTAAGTCCCTATATACCAAGGATGATTCCATTTTTTTTGTACATTACAGATTCTATTATTTGACAATGCTTTATTATAACATGGGTTTAAAGTTTCTTATTTTGTTAGCGATAAAATTATTTTTCATACAACATAGAAATATGTGGGTCCTAATTTTTTCTCTCTCTTTATTTTCTCACATGATCGCGCAATTTTTTCTTCTTCTGTATACCGATCTTAATTATTTATTTGAGGCAAGTCGACCTTCTAGTATCTCCACAAATTTTAATTTTTTGGGCTGGTTAGAAGACTAACCCGAGTCGGGGCTTAGTCTCACCCTCCTCAAAGATCTCACGTACTTTTATATGCTGATAAGTATCTCCAACAAGAAGCTTTAAACCCTTAAAATGTCTTAAAAATTAACATATAATGTAATTTTCAAACAAAAATATTAAGTATAACTATTTATTCATAGACTTATTGATGAGTAATTTTTAAAAGAACTCCACTTTCATCATTTTTTTTTTTTTTTTTTTTTAACCGCTGGCACCACATAAGTATGTTATATAGTGGGATAGGAGTGGCGGTTTATCGCTTTAGAAGTGAAACAGAAAGGAGATTTTTTTATTCCAAGTGGTGGTTTATATTTCACCTTGCAAACAAACGGTAAACATAGTTCTTTTCCGTTTGATGAATTTTAGGTTTGTTATTCATTATGTTCTTTTATTTCAACTTTTGTATAATGCTGATTTTGATTTTGATGGTTCTACATTAATATGAATGAATTCTTGAGTTGGGTTAATTCATTTGATAATTCACTTGAAGAAACATTTATACATGATATTACAGTGTTATTTACTTTGAGCTGTTTTCTCTTTCAAAGCTCCCTTCACTTGAAAAATCTACAAACCTGCCCAATTATAGCAGAAATATGGTACCAATAATTTGGATGAACAAGTGAAATTTTAACACATGAACCTTATGGGAGAGGAATATCCTAATGTTTAAGAAAAAGTGTTCTCTTTGTTTTCATTGTTTGAATTTAAAATTTGAGTAATATATATATATATATATATATATATATATATATTATATAGAGATAGATAAACACAAGGAATGAAAATCATGGGAGAGAAAGTGCGTGTTTTTTTTTAATTTAAAATTTAAATAAAAAATATTTTTTTTGTCTATCTATCTCTTGAAATGATATAACTTTATGTCATTTAAAATACAAACACTTTTCCCATATATATATATATATATATATATATATATATATATATATATATATATATATAATGTAAATCTATAAAATTTCTCAAAGATCATATGATAACTTCTAAAATATAACATCAACCATGATTTTGTTTCTCTTAACCAGTTATAAAAATATAAAATAAAAAAACAATTGGTTAGTGTAGAATATACGCATGTGACTGAACAACAAACAAAATATTAGTTGAAAGTAGTGTCCACTATTTTATTTGTCAATGTAAGTTGGCTGATTATTCTTCAATAATTATACATAAAGATCCCATGAAAAGTAAAAGCTGGAAACAAAAATAAGATACATTATGCCTAATTAAAGTTTGATTATAAAGGTAAACTTCCATTTAATTTAATAGAAAAAAATATTTTCAAGTTTTTTTACGTATGTTTGTTAACCTCTTACTATTATTCTTTTCTAGAGGCCAGGAGGTATATTGAAGTCTTACAACGACAGAGTTGGATAAACCCTAGTTATTAATGTTCATAATTGGATTTATCTACCAAAATAAGTTAAAAAGAGAAAAAAAAAATATTGCGTGATGTGCAACCGCAATCTGATTCTCTCTTTCCCTACTTTCATTTTCATAAATAATCTTATCCCTACCGTTACTCACTTCAAATAATAAAAATTACTAAAAAATATAAATTACAAAATAATGAAAATTATTAATGAATATATATAATTGAAATTACTACTTACCATATTAATAATTTTCAATTAATATGAATAACTGCTTAATAGCTATAGCTATTATTAATAATTATTAATCATTAATTACTATAATTAAATTTCAAATCAGTAATTATTAATTAATCATTATTACAATTAATAAATACTAAAATTAATAATTTAAAATTTAAATGAAACTGAAAATAATCAATTATTACATTTAATTGCTAATCCTAATAATTGTAGCAATTTTAGTATTGATTGACAATTTTAGTAACTAGTAATTTATAATTATTAAAAAATAGTAGTAATTAATTATTATTTCCTATGGTTAATAATTACTAAAATTAATAATGAATAATTAAATTATAAATCACTAACTACTATAAGTAAAAATTAGTAATCACAAATTACTCAAATCAATGGTAACCAATTGCGAATTATTTATATTAATAACTTAAAATTAAATTATTTAAATTAATAATTAATATTTAAATTACAAATCATGCTTACAACGTACAATTAATAATTACTATAGTTAGTAATTTAAATCTGAATAACAAATCAGTAATTACTATAATTAATTACTAAATTTAGTAATTTTATTGATTGACAATTTTAGTAATTAGTGATTTATAATTATTACTAATTATAGTAATTATTGTTACTCCGAATTATCAGTGAGTAATTAATAATTAGTATTGACTAACATTTTTTAATATAGTAATTAATAATTTTTTTTAATAAGTAATTAATACTTTTAATTATGTATTAATTATAAATAATTTTCATTATTTATAAGTAAATATTTTTTATTTTTTTGTAATTTTTATTATTTAAAGTTAGTCAATATAGGATTCGTGTATTTGGAACGAAAACGGGGAGAGAAGAGAACAAATAGTAGATTAGTAGTGACGCAATTACATTATTTATTTATTTTTTATTTTTTTATTTTTACATGTACCTAATGTGTCCCTCTTTGCATGTGCCTTTGGGCGCCTAGAATGGGGAAAATTTCCCCTACGCATAATGGAAACTTTTTTTTTTTTTTTTTTGACTCATTTTGATGAATCAACCTCTTTGTTAAGTTTATTTTTAACTTTCTTAATCTTCAATTTTTTTCTCTTTGGGTACTATCCTTAAATATTAGGTACACATATAGAAGAGGATCAGTAGATCCTTTCATGTTAAAATTTTATATAATCTCTGGTCATATAAATTTTTTATATTTATCTCTTTCTTCATAAGGAGCACATTTTCTATGCTACGGAAATACCTATATACTCTCCTATCAAAAAGGGGGAGAAAAGGGATATAAGAGAAAATAACCATAAATATAAGGGTAGTATAATTATATTACTTTTCTGTTTCATATTTGATAAAAGATGCACTGAGTATTCGATACTTCCGTAGTACTGGAAATATTTTCCTTCACATACATTAAATAGGTAGAATATAATTATCATTAATTAAGAAAAAGATAAATACAAAAATTTCAATTAATTATAGTAAAATTTTGCCCAAGTTGATATGTTATTGAGATATATTGCATAGTTGTCTACAATGCTAGCATGTCCACATAACAGGGAACATTGTAAATATCCCATCAAACCATACCCATTCAAGTCATTGCATAAACCTCATCCTCTTTTTCATTATATACTTTGCATTTACATGAAAACAATAAAACATATAGAGAAAGAGAGAAAAAGAGAGAGAGAGAAACCATGGAAGGAGAGAACACTACATCAAACTGTGTCTACAGAGAGTGTTTGAGAAACCATGCAGCCACCCTCGGTAGCTACGCCACCGACGGCTGCGGTGAGTTCACCCTCGACGACATGTCCCACGGCGGAAGCCTCCAATGCGCCGCCTGTGGCTGCCACCGTAACTTCCACCGGAAAGTGACATGCCCACCGAGCCCAGCAGAGACCACCACAACCACCACCAACACGGCTGATCTCATGGACTATTCCGGCGGCGGAGGCGGAGGTGAAGGGAGGTCGGCGGAGGCGGTGGAAGGAGGAGGAGTGAGGATAGGGAAGAAGAGGTTCAGGACAAAGTTCACAACAGAACAGAAAGAGAAGATGTTAGGTTTTGCAGAGAAACTTGGGTGGAAGCTGCAAAGGAAGGAACTTGATGATGAGATAGAAAGGTTCTGTAGAAGTGTTGGGGTTAGTAGACAAGTTTTCAAGGTGTGGATGCATAATCATAAGAACTCTTCTTCTAATTCTTCTGCATCCACTGGCAATGCTTCTTCTCTCACTCAATAAACTCTTTTGAGAAAAAAAAAGATAGAGAGAGAATATTATTGCATCTTAATGCTTTATTTTTCTTTTTTTTTAATATTTTGTTCTTTCTTTTTCTTATCAATGCTTGGATGTAATAATTTTATCATTTACCCTCATTGTGTCAGGATAAGTTTGTTTGTTTGTTTTTCTTGATGTCTTTTTTTTTTTTTTTAATATTCCAATCCGTTCATTGCTTCGCAACTAATTCGATTCGGGCGGGTCCAGATTAAAGTTTTAAACTCCTCTCAAAGGTGGTACTGGGGAGATTCGAACACATGCTCTCACCCCACTTGCTTAGCTTCCATGCGCCAACTGAGCTACCACCATTTGATTTTTTTTTTTTTTTGAATACTTCATTGTCTTTTATTTTTCTAAAATGAAAAAAAAAAATTATTGACATAGCTATAGTAAGATAAAACTGATGATAAGGTGAAGAGTGAAGACACATGCAGATGATTCATTTAGCTAGCTGCTTCACAAAATTAATTTCATTTTCAGCTGGATTAATTACCCTATTATGTTTTATTGGTTATGAAGTATATTTTTCTTCATATTTTAGGGAAATGGTAGATTAAATTTCACACAAAAGGACTTGAGTTAGATTTGATTTAGAAAATAAAAGGAGGACTATTTAACTTTGTCGAAACCAAATGGTAGTAGCTCAGTTGATAACAAAGAAGCTGATTAAGTGAAAAAGAAAGGGTCTTGTTTCGATTCTCACATGCCACACTTAGGAGGAGTTTAGATATTTTTATCCCTAATGTGCTCTACACTCTGGATTAGTCTTATAGCCAAATCAAAAAGTCAAAATGTGCAGAGATACCAAGAAAAATCAACTTGCCTCGAAGAGATAATTAGGATTGCGTTAACTCTAAATTTTATTTTATTTTGTTGAAGTATTTATTCTACGCTTTATATTTGACCTGCAGCCTGCTTGAAGGTACAGGCTAAAATGACATAAACTAGCTAATAAGGGGTTGTAATTCCAAAAGAAGAGAGCTACTAAGGGGTTGACTTATAGTTGGTAGGATCAAAATGTGTTTATGTAAAAAGTTCGATTCATATTAAAAAAAAAAAAAAAAGTTCGATTCATGTCGCTGGTCTTAATGATAAATCAAATATAAATATTATTATAAGTCATTGCTAAGATTTCTAATATGCATTGAACTTAGAATGTAAAACCTTTCTGTACTTAAAAAAAAAAAATTGACATAATTCATATAACCTCATGAAAATAAAAAATAAATAAATTTGAACTTACTTTTTTATACTTATTTTTATTGTTATCAATATTTCTTTTGATATGTGATTATAATAGTGTTAGTGGCGGAGCCACTTGGGAGGACACCACCTAATTTTTTAAAATGGTATAATTTTTTTTAAAAAATTATGATATAATCTTGGTATTAGTTAGATTTTTAAAATAATATAACTTTAACATTACCTGATTTTACCTGGTCGAATCTTTTGATATTACTTGACTTTTTTTTCTGGCTCCGCCTCTGAATCGCGTAGTTTGATTGGTAACATGAATTATCAATATCATATTGGTGGACCTCGCACGCCATCAAATACTAAGTAGAGATTGATTGCACAACCAACATTCGAATTCGTTGTGGGGGACCAAAAATATATATGTTTTGAGATTGTTTTCTTAATTAATGTATAATTAAACTGTTATAAACAGGGAGGTTGATCTTCGAAAACAGTGTTCTCTTTTTTATTTCTATTAATATTCAATTATTTTTAGAAAAATAGTTCACTTGTTGGGTCGTTAATTTGGTAGCCATTTGAGAGTCCTCAAGTTTCAATTTGGGAACAGTAACAAAAGTGTCATTATTTGACAAATTTTTTATTCAAATGGCATGCGAATAGTATATTTTATCAGACTGCCACGCGACGTAATTCGCTATGACAGGTAGCGAATTACGTTCACCAATGATTTTGTGACACGTGGCACAATTTCGCAGAAAAAAGCTGATCAGACGTAATTCGCTACTAGTGGTAGCAAATTTGGTACACAATATGACCAAATGTCACGAAATCATTGGCAAACATAATTCGTTACTAGTCGTAGAGAATTACATCGCATAGCAATCTGGTAAAATGTACTGTTCATGTGATATTTAGATAAAAATTTTTATCAAACAATGACATTTTAGTCACTGTTGGTTCAATTTGTCTAAAAAGTAAAAACTGGTTAGTTTAGCTTATCCTTTTTTTTGGATTATTATAAACTTGACCTAATTTTTGTCTACTCGTACAAGGACTAGGGGTGTGCACCAATTCACTATAAATATTTATCTCGTTTTTCGTTTTAATTTGCACCAAAAACAACTATCAATTCCATGACATCCACAAGGACAATAAATCTTTTCCAGCTTCATCAATTCTTCGAATGATTCTTTGTAAAATGAAATAATTAAAATTTAAAATTCATGTGATTTAACCTATTAAAAAAAAAACACATGATCTTATTATATTTCAACCTTTGTCCCTTGAAGTAACCAGTGACTCAAATTGAAGGCCTTTAAACCAATCATTGGATTTTTCTCATTTTCTCGTCACATTAAGTGAACGGTACGACTTAATCTCAGATCAATAATGACCACTTATTGACAGGAGTTGATCATCTCATCAGAAAAAATGATCATGTGACTATGTTATTTTATTATAACTATTTATTTAAAAATTATACATTTCTCTCTCACTTATCTCATTATCAATTAGTAGTTGTGATCAAATAATATGATCATATGACTATTTTTTTACATAAGAGAATTCAAATTCACTTTCTGACTTTTATGGATTTAATTTTTACCATGGTTTGTACGCAAATCCAAAAAGAGTTATGATATGGACCCAAGAAGTCTATATTCTAGAAGGCCCAATGAAGAACAACACAAAGAAAAAATTAATATAACTAAATGAAAGTATCAATCTAAGATATTAGGAGAAGATTATACTTACAAACCTATTTTCGTTTACAACTTCTTACAACCATATCTTAACTGTTGATTTCCGTCAATCAACGGTTAAGATTTTCGCAAATCAAATTTATTAATTAATTATTAATTCACAATAAATGATAACTGATATGCCTCTGGTATGTGATATTTTCCAAGTCAAAAATAATAAGAATTTAGTCATAGGAGAGCATTTTCTGTATATTAATTGATGTTATTATTTATTTTTCCATTTCATTTTATTTCTCACATTTTTGTTATAGTTTTACAGGTTAAAATATGAAGAAAATAGACAATTGAAGAAAAAAAAGAATCCGCGCGACTCACGCGGATGTTGGCGCGACCAGCACGGAGTTGCATTTGCCATACATATTCCAGAGAGTTGGCGCAGTTGCAGCGCCAACCCCGCGCCACTAGCGCGAATTTTGCGAAAGTCATGTTTTGAAGAATTTAAGTGACGTAGCGAGGAAAGGAAGGGGAAGGAGGATTACAACAGAAAGGCACAGGAGTTCCAGTAGGAGGAGAACATCATTCATTGGAGCAGATCATCATTCTTTGTTCTTCATCGTAATTTTCTTTTCTTTTCTCTTTTATAATTGTATGTCAGCCATGTCTATGGTTGACTAATTTTCTTCATTGTAGTTAGGGTCACAAACCCTTTGTGAACCCTTTTCACGATGGATTGATTAAATTGTGCTCGCTATTTTAATACATTTTATTTTTACCCTGTGTGTATTGTTTATTATTTCTGTTAGACTTGATCAACCTAATAGGAGATAATAATTTGGGAATTAGAGCTCAAAATAGGAATATTGGGGTTTTAATTTTGAAATGGGGTAAAATAACAGTTCATTTATGTTCTAGGGATAGACGTTTATGAATTGTGGATGTTTAATTTATCGGGATTAATGCTTAATTTCATATAGAATTGCTAAGGGATTAGGATTCTAGTGGAATTAAAGGGTTGAACTGCTAAGGGATTAGGGTTCGAATAAATAATTATAAGATGATAAATTATCCAATTATGTTATTATAAATGAGCATTTTTAATCAATCCAGAGTTTAAAGAGGGGATCATATGGTGCGTGTACCTTAGCTGCAATGTTTATTCATTATTCTCCCAAAAATCCAAACTTTACCGTTGCTTATTAAATTAAGAATTACATTTTAATTTTCTGTCTTTTTTTTACTATCAATTCACAATTTCCAAAAACAAACAGATTTTCCAACTTAAGGGGACAAGTTATTGTAGTACTTGGTTTACAATCCCTGTGGAGACGATACTCTACTTACTTACTATATTACTTGTGCGATCGGTAGACTTGCCGGTGAGCATCAATAATCATTGATTGGCGGAAATCAACGGTTAAAATATGGTTCTAAGATGTTGTAAACGAAAATAGATTGTAAGTATAATCTTTCCCAAGATATTAATCCTAATATGTTGGACATGAGCTTTTAGAGGAGGTATTAAAGGTTCAGAATTCCATTATACATAGATAAATTCTATAAATAAGAGGTAAAGTATGTATGGACCCTATTCTCTCTCTATCTCTATTGTTATGTTGTTACTGCGCACAAACACCACCTCTTTGGCTAACGCCGTTATTATCAGTACACGGTGATTTGCTACTCTCAAAGATATCTTATCCATAGAATCTAAGAGAGTATCTAGATCCAAGATCAATATATTAGTCTCTTGACTAGACATCTATGTCCCTAGATCAGAACAAGGTAAAATAGAGATTCACGTCCCTTCCTCCATAAAAAAGGAAGTTAATTAGAATTACGAAGGTTAATGGCTCCCATTCTTTGTGACATGCACTGTCTCACACCATGTGGAACTTGATATGGTCTTGCTTTAGCTCAGGTATTTGTAAAAGGCAATGAGATACATGAAATGTAAACATCTGCCTTGAACCCCAGAGACAAGATCACAGTTTTGGTGAAACCACCTTGCATGTTGCCAGTACTGTGGTGCTGCTCTTCTATTTAGGGACAAAAGAAAAGACAACACATGCACTCGCAAATTGCAACCTAACCACAACTTGTTAAGAGTGTGGACCACCTTTTCTACTTAGGGAACTTGCACTACTGCTGCACATTGATTTCTTTCA